TCATTTCTGGAGATTCGAATATGCGCTCGCAACTTGATAACGTCATATGTTGGACGACGTTATATTTTAGAAGGCCAAACCTCGATTCGCCTCGATTATGATTTTGGGTTTATTAGGACCACACCCCTGCTCGTGGATCTCAACAAAGTGGTAAACGTCTGAGACCTGCAACACTTCGTGGTGATGATTACGCGGGCACGGGTGGCCCAGTTGTCTAAGGCGCCGCAATTCGATGTGCAGAGTTGCGTTCCTTGGGCACGCCAGAAACAAGTTGTATTCTACAGTCAAATCTTTAGACGACCTCGATTCGATTAGTCGACTCGATTCGGTGATACAAGAGGCGATCTAAAACATTAAATCATTTCAGTATGAAGGCATAAGCACTGCTTTAGATCTTGTTAGCCATGGATAAGATTTATGGTTATCTTGGATGTCAAGAATGGATTTCATCCTTTTACCATTTGAGAGGATCACCAGCGATATTTAGGCATACATTTTCAAGGAATTGACTATTTATGGAGAGCGCTGTCTTTTGGTTTGTGTAATTTCTCAGATCCTGGGGGTCTCAGGGTCATGACCAATGGGGAAGACTTTAGAGAGAGTGTCAGAAAACCTAGGCACCGGTTACATGTTTCGGAGGGTGTTTGGGAGGGGGGTGTTTGTCCGAGAATATGCCTACAAATAAGTATGCCTCAGAGTGTTGATAAAGATGTCTTCTTCAAAAAGTACACACGTACGGACGCACGCACGCGCACACACACAGCCTTAGTCTGGCGTATATATGTTGTAAAGTGTACTATATGTAGCCATGTATCAAAATCAGAACAAAGACTATATTATTGAAACTTGTTTGATGTAATATGAATTCTGTGAACACTGAACACATTCCGTGATCCCGTCTAGATCATCCGACGAAACATGTTCCATTGGGCGTAAAATGCAAACATAACGTTTTGTGTAAAGACAAGATGTAACTTGAATACACAGGGGGCTTGTAACTAATAAATACGACATAAGTTCTGTTCCATTTTCACACGAATATGACGTACATGTACCATAAAACTTGACTTTCATAAACAGTAATAAGTCTTCACCGTCACATATTTAGAATTTAACTGCTCACACACTTTTTATATACTTCACACGTAACGTTGCGATATTTAACGTCTTCAAGTGTTTGTTTGTTTGTTTAACGCCGCACTCAGCAATATTCCCGTTTTATAAACCCTGTGCCTTATAAACTCAAATACCACAATCCCCCTGACCACAAAGTGAAACGCGTCCAACTGATAAGTAGATTTGTTATATGATAGGTCTGAGTGCTATATATTTTGTTGTGTTCACAACACACGTAACGGATTCCACACAATGTACTGGTAAAAACCCATTCAAACACTATGGACTATAACTCCTTTTGAAAAAGCTTGCTGTTATAGTTGGCTTGGATTGAACAGCAGGAGCTGACGTGTGTCATAGTCACGTCTCTTCATGTTAGTATTTAAAACGTTGTCAAATACACTTCCATAGTGTCAGTGTTATCAACGGCTATACATAAACTGACAATGTAAGACTACTATTAATACTGAATATAAAGATTATAAAGGACATGCGGTGGAAAAAAGCTTCAGGCAATGAATCAACCATATAAGAGTCTCAGCGTTAAGTGATATATCAGTCACATTCTTTTGCAGATTCATCGGAGGGACATGATTGAGCTACTACTGCCCCGATTACAGAAGATATTGTAAGTGTTTCCTTAAATGTTTCGTGTCCGTGAAGTCTCTACTCGTGTCAGTGGTCCATGTACATATTCTTTAATGGGAGAAACCTCTTTCCTGCAGCAAGAAGCTTGTTTTCGTGTACTTCTCATTTTTAAAAATGTATTTGATCATGCGCCTGCCTTGTTAATTAGTATAACAAACTTTATCATACATTTCAGAATGATGAGATCTGACTGGATCACGTGATCCTGAGGGAAATACATTTCTGAGCGGGAGGATATATTCCTTATACGCCGAATCTAAGCAAAAAACTGCATGCTTTTTCGAGTCATGAAAATCACGCGACAGAGCAAAAGTTAACCTCAGCTCATTCGAACAGCTGTTTTCTATATATTTTGAATCTGTTTTAATTCCTTTACAATGGCAGAATAAACCATGTCGGTAAGATAAATTCGTTGTAGCAGTAGCAGTATCACTCGGGGTACATGCGGTTGTATGCGTCCCTCGTTAGGTTTTATAAACCTCTCCTCCGGCTCGGTACCCTCGTGATGCTGCTACAACTTATAATGTCTACGTTTAGAAGAGTCTTGTTTGTTTGTTGTTTAACGCCGCACTCGGCAATATTCCAGCTATGTCACGGCAGTCTGTAAATAATCGAATCTTGACCAGACAATCCAGTGATTGACATCATGAGCATCGATCCACGCAATTGAGACAAGCGACTAACGGGATTGTGTTTAGTGGTCGACATAATGTAATACTGAATAAGAATTATCTGCTGATCAGCTGGCACGTCACTTATCTATTGCAATGGGACTGTAGCTAATCTAATACGAAATCGCACTTACGCCTATAGACAACCCGTGAAGATCCGGGTTAGAGTAGGTCTTCAAAGTTTGTCGTAACATGAGACTATGCTTGTGGTAAGAGGCGACTAACGGGATCGGAGGCGTCAGGCTCGCTGGCTTGTGAAAGATCGGGAGCACCTTTAGAATACAGTACCACAACTTCTCGCGAGGACGATCTCTGCCGTAGGTCACATGTCTCAAAGACAAGCAACCAGTTTTTGTGAGAATCCGTCGGACGCGAACTCGCGACCTTCGGATTGATAGCCCGAACTGTGAAACAAAGTGCAAAATTTACCAAGTCATGCCTACGACGTTACGGAACTGACCGAAAAGGGTCGAATAGGTGACGGACACTTACGAAGGTTACGGGTAGGCATGGTGTCTTACGAATGATCCCGATGCCATTTGGCACACTCGTCCCATTCCGTACTTTACAAGATACCGAGTGGTGAGGAATGAGCCGATATGGCGCGAACTGAAAACGGCTCCAGGCGTCCGATGTCCGACGTCGAATTCGCGAGTATGCATGAATGACATGGTATTTAATCATTCGTCGGGTGGATTTTGTGACAGAAAAGTGTGGTAGGGAACACTGTAACGATGATGTGGATAATAGTAAGGAACGAGGGAGGCATGAACATGGCTAGTGACGACAAAACGGTGAGCTCGCTTTTGAATCAGCACTGAAAAAATGTAGTCGGTGAAAGTGGCTTGTGTGAATGTTCCAGGACAGTGTCCAGTAGCCAAAATATTTGACACAAAACCATTTCATTCTTTTTACTCGAATCTATAATAGCCACGAAACGGGTACCTAACCCTAATGATGGTAAAGGGGTGATTGATCGTAAAGGGGATCCAAGTGCTAAAGATAGAGTTTGGGGTAGCCTACCCTAACACTGGCGACATTTCGATGTGTTCAGCGCCAATATAATATCCCCAATAAACTGCATTCTTGTACATAATAATGAAAAAAAATGAACTGAAAAAAATAATACACTGCAAAACTCTCAACACCGCTGGGCGTATTCAATAACATTGCGTGTAGAGATGATAGATCACTGGGAGGAGCTTATGCACACTCGATGACCCTGACGTCACAGGGCATTGTTTCGCCGGTGTGACTGACAACAAAATACCACAAATTACGTCATAGGGTATTGTTACGTGTTTGAAAAGTTTTTGGTACTGTATTCTAAAGGTAGGCCCCCTGTTACATCCTCACAACCTATCTAGATATCCTTGCAACAAGTACTAAACATTCGATCACTTACCATTACACACTCTGTTCCTTTCTTGCCTCTCTGCAGGTCACCTGTGCGAAACATCGATTCCAGGATTTCCGGCATTTGTAGACTGTACCTCTGTAACCCCCGAGTCCTGCAGGTGCAGAGGTCTTTTGTGAAAGCCTAGTGAAAGGGAAAGGTTGCTTACCTTACAGCGGTACCTGGGATGATGGGGAGATCGTGGTGGTGTAAGTTTCTGTGGTTCAATATTCGTCCGTTCAGTTAAGTGCCCAGTCTCGATCTGTCACTCGTTGGTTGGTTTGTTGTTTAACGCCGCACTCAGCAATATTCCAGCTATATGACGGCGGTCGCCGGAAACATCCAAGTGGCATCGGATGACCAATTCAATTTTACCCGATGTAACCCGATGTAACCCGATGTACGAGTGCGGAGGCACCGCGATCTCTACATTCAATCGAAGATTTGTTTGATGTTTATCGCCACACTCAGCAATATTCAAGCTATATGACGGCAGTCTGTAAATAATCGAGTCTGAACCAGACAATCCAGTGATTGACATCATGAGCATCGATCCACGCAATTGGGATACGATGACATCAACTAAATCAGTGAGCCTGACCACCCGATCCCGTAAGTCGCCTTTTACGACAAGCATAGTCGCATTTTACAGCAAGCATGGATTGCTGAAGACCTGTTATACCTAGGATCTTCCCGGGTCGCAATTAAGGATGACAGACATAAACAGTTAGGTGACTTTCCATATGGTAGGTTAATCTGGGATGTCTTCAATGTTTGTGTTTGTTTGTTTAAAGCTGCACTTAGCAATATTCCATCTAAATGAATGTGCTCTATTAATAATCGAGTCTAGACCAGACAAACCTGAGATTGATCTTATGAGCAATGGTGACACGCAATCAACGCATGTCTTACATGACACCAGTATGCCTTTCAGAATTAAATAATTACATTCGTTTTCTACTAACATCGAAAGGTATGTACCGATGCGATAGATTGAGAAGATTTCTTCACAAAACAATTTCAAACGGACCGCGGCCGGTTGCAGGGATCAAAAGCGACACAATTAATTTTAAAAATATGAGAATTATGTTTATAACATAATTATAACCGTTCAAAAACTATCGTCATATCCTCTTTTGTAAAATACATTTGAACATTTCAAACTGTCGATGCAACAGCTAGGGGCATATTTTGCCACAAGTGAGAAATTCAGAGAAAAAGAAACTTAAGGAATATTCAAATTAGTTGAAGGTCATTGTCCACGTGATTAGTCGTTGATTTTCATCAAGGGTTGACTTTATCATATTAATAAAAGTTATACCCGAACCTGATTGTACAGCCTGGTTGTTTCCAACTGTTGTTTTCAGCACTAGTTGGACTGCTTCTGGTCACTCGAGCAGATGGATCTGACATATGTCCCCATGGCTTCTGGGGCTCAGACTGCAAAACTCCGTGCCCAGCCAACTGTGACGAGGAAGAATCAACCAAGCAAGTGTACTGTGACAAAGATACTGGTAACTGTGCTGAAGGCTGTAAAGCAGGATACTACAAGCTACACTGTGATGAACAATGCAAGGACTGCCCAAGTGGGCGATGTGTTCAGGTCGATGGCGCCTGTTTGCCAGGAGGAGCTTCCATGGTTCTTCACCCGAACTCATTTCTCATAATGCTGAGTATGCTAATTCCAATCAGCAGGAACAGAATTGCAGTGGTAACTTTGACCCTAGCATTTCCAGGTACGTATTTAGCGCTTTTCTCTCAAATGTACGAATTGTTGGATTTCATGTAACGTTCAGGAGATAAACAGATTGACGGGTGTTGTTGAGTGTCAGAAACTTTCATTCACATATTGACCACATTAACATATATTTCATGCACATATTTCAAATAAAATCAAAATAATACATTAAAATAACGAACAGAAGTCAAGGTGATCCATATTGCAAGTCAAGGTTCGTGCAATATGGGCGTGGGTGGCTCCTATCTGTACCATACCCAAGGCTCGTTCACGTTGTTCGACTGTGAGTCGTGGAATTTCTTTTGTGTGTTTTTTTTATCACTGTGGATGTCCGACTTGCCGTTGCAATTGTTTTATACCCTTACCCGCACGTGCATTTGCAGTTGTCCGTGGTGCACCTGTTTTTCACTTTTTCGCGTGTTATCTCGCAAACATGTAACAGACGATTAACATTTTCTGCATACACTATTGTTGTATTTAAGTTATGTGTTTTAGATAGACGCCATCGAAAAAAAAATTATACTTTGTGTGAAATTTATATTTTCAGTTGGTAAAGTTTCTTTTGGACGTCAGTTTATTACACAATTAACTAGGTATACAAATTAAAACTACTGCACAGCAATTCCAATGGCAGTATACAATAGAGTGGTAGTACAATATGCCATGACAATATATAATGTGATTGCAGTGGTCAGTATCAAATACAAACATATGATGGCAGTGGTGACATAAAACAGTTCAGTGATAATAATACCAACCTATCCGCAACAGTGGTAAAGCTTCCTAGACAGGCCTAGGCTGGGAATCCGGGGTGATAAGTGATCTTCACACGAAAGCTGGTCTTGATGTAATGTCAGATGAAATGTGAGATTCGACAGAATTCTACTGAATCTCAACAAAAACAGTGTAAAACAGTTCCAATAATTGTTTAACAATAACTTACACTGCCATGCAACAATATGGGTTTTGATCTCAATATAAACAATATACAAATAATATTACAAGTTAAGATACCTATAACAGAATCCTATAATCCTTTCATCTTTCATGCTTCACAATTTTGTTTTCACTACATTCATCCATCACTTGCGAATACATTTTGTGATATTGTCGCTATTTTTAACCAACGAATCAAGCAGGGCCCTGGTTCCACAGCCAGGGGAACAGACCAATGAGCGCCCAGTTTACTTCGCGCAAACGACAACTTGACTTCCGTGAGCTAAACCCGTCCTCAATGCATTAACTGACTGAAAATTGACACACGTCACCACTACACCGCCTATCGCCCCAATACATTCATGGGTGATTGAGGAACGTATTGTTTACAGACAGTAAACCATTGATCATAAAATCCTCTGGTTTCAGTCGCGTATGCTGATGCCTGTAGATGCACCTTCTGTAAAGACCTGCAGTGTGACCCTTCTGGAAAGTGTCTGCATGGATGTGCTGATCCTCACACCTACGGCCCCAAATGTCAATATGAGTGCCCAAATAACTGCATCAAGCTCCAGTGTGCCTTAGCAACAAATGGACAACCTAAATGTACAGCAGGATGCAAGGACGGATTCTGGGGAACACAGTGCAACATACCCTGTAACAAGAGATGTAAAAGATGTTACGGACCTGAATTCTGCCTATCTTGCAATTCCAATTACTTTGGACGTGATTGTCACTCAGATTGCACTGAGATATGCCATGGAATGGCTTGCAATCCAGACGGAAGTTGCAGGACAGACACGTGTGCTGATGGGTGGTATGGCCCGGGCTGCACCATGGAGTGTTCCGCCACATGTAAAACCTGTGAGAAGGTCATGGGAACGTGCACCAGATGTGATGTTGGGTGGTATGGACTTGACTGTGCAGAATGTCCCCCTCTACCAGATGACACAACCTTCTGTTCAACGCTGCGTGACACAGACATTTGTCCAGTTTGCGCCTTTAAATACTATGTAAATCAAGATACTTGTGGTAAGATATACAAACACTTATGAACCTTGTGAATAATCTGAATTCACAATATATGGGATTTCAGTAGCATAACCACTCAATGTTTGATGTCGGTGTATGATTTATGAAAAATGCCATGAAAAACATTATTGCGATATATACGTTAATAAAAACTATAATTACATCTAGTGGTTGTGACTGTCAGATTAATTAACCTATTTTCAGCAAAGTCTTCATTGTGATTATTTCAAAATAGTAGTTCTTAACATATTCAGTGTGAAATTGATTGCTTTGTGTGTTAATATAAAACTTATATTTTGAATAATTACCTAAGTGCACACTATGTGATATTAGTGCAGAAGTTAGTTCACTCAGTGTTAATCTCCGATACGACAAATTTTACAGACGCTTGAAACAGTACTTACCTCACCTATGTTTATGGTATAGCCCTGTCCTCAGTGGGCATTTATGAATGTAGCTATGTTCCGTTTGTTTCAGAATACGTCGTTAGTTGGTAATGGGTCTAGAAATATTGAAGTTAATAGTTTTATTTACTATTTTGTTTTTTGTATTTAGTCTTGACCTTTAGTTTTATTACCGCTTAGACCGCCTCCGTGGTCTAGAGGTATTTCCGCTTAGACTGCCGCCGTGGTCTAGTGGTAGAGCGTCCGCCCGGAGAGCGGAAGATCCGGGGTTCGATCCCCGGCCGCGTCATACCAAAAGAAGTCAAAAGATGGTACTTGTTGTTACCCTGTCTGGCACTCGACATTAAGGGACTAAAACAAGGACTGGTCGGCTCGGAGTCGGTATACTGTGTCTGAGTGGGGTATTCAAGTTAAACTGCGGCATGGTATCTCAGTGTGCTAGCACTAGTACAAGCAGCCACACACACACACTTGCATGCACGTCGCTATATGAGTGCAGTAATCTTGGACGCGACGTTAAACTCCATTTCACCTCACCTATTACCGCTTAGGCATTGCCTAATATCCACAGAACAACTGGGGAAACTGGTGTCAATCTCATCTTGTATTTGTTTTTAAGGTGGCCCAACCAGGTGGAATCTAATCACAAGCGTCGGGCTTCTTTGCCTGTCAACATACACGGTTCTGGTAAGTCAAGTACAGGCCAACACATGCAGCAGTGTCCAGGGGTCGAGTTGTAGCAATTCGGCAAAATGATCGACCCTACGAAATGTTCGACCCTACGAAATGTTCGACCTTTTAACAGTGAATTAATATGAAACATATATTTTACCGATTTGGCTGTCTGAAGATCTGTGTCTGTCTTTCAGGCACTGACTACAACCTGATGTCACAGGGGCGATACAGGGCACGATATTGATGACTTTGGAAGATGATGGAGACCTGCCAGGACAACGAAACAAGAACATCATAATTATTTCTCCCGATTGATATCGTCATTTGTTCAAATGTTCCAATGTTCCGTCTTAAATACCATAGTTGATATATGTACTCTTTTGTTAAGTCTTAACTCCATTTGTACAGCTGCAGAAAAACAATGTACTGAAGTAGTGAGGATCTCTGGGCTAAATAATTACAGTGGAATATCCATATCACATGCAGAGTTGTAGCGCTTGAACCTTTTCTGTTGCTCACACGTGACGGTGTGAATTAGATAGTCCTTAATCCGACACTGGCATGGTCTTGGATGTTGGATCGACAGTGGATGGCCATGCGTTGGATTCACAGGGTTTAAACTATACCGCCTAGATGGATGTGTACAGAATCTGACTTTTGTTTATAACAGGGTTTTTTTCGGAGATGTTTGTTTGTTTCCCCCTTTCATGTTTACGCCTCCGACTAAGGAGTATCCATGTTGTGTAGCTCATAAACCGTTACGACACACATTTTCTATTTTTCATCCCTACCGAAAGCAGCTGGAAAAGATATAAATTAAGCATAAACTATTTATGTTTATTATGTCTCCCACTAGTAATACAGACCCTCTTATATAAAATATAATGTTATATATAAATTCCATGTCTACATCACAATCAAGATTCAAGAAGCCTGCTGCAGTTTTAACTCCATGGCAGAATGATTTTCATTTAGATAAATAAATGATTGACATAGTTATTTATTATTAGTTTTATTTCGACCGACCAGCTGGAAAAGCTGGAATAAATCCATGAAACATTAAATTAAACAAGTGCGGCCTTACATTCAAATTTGAATTATGACGTAGCCGTGACTCTGAATTCAGTTTCGGTTCTATTTTAAATATAATAGTCAAAATAGGTAGCATCATTAGTATAATTGCTGGAACATATACCACATTCGAAAAACATTTGACATAAAAAACTGCTGTTTGGAAATTGGATTGTTTTTCATCTGAATAAGTGGTGGACTGTTATTGGAAACGTAAGCGGTGATTATTGGAATAATCATTACCTTCTCAAGCGGACTGCACTCGAAACATCCCCTTAGTCCTGTAATAAGCATGATCCAGTCCATAGCTGGATGCTCTAGGTGAAGAGCTTACATTTCTTTCCACGTGTGTTACTTTTTATTTATATATATTTGTGGATTGATTTTGTGCTCCGAGTGTGATGTGACAGTTGCTTGAAGTATATTTGCATATAGGCCTTTATGTATACACTTATGACAGTTTTGTTTTCACATATTTTACATCGATTTATGTCACTTTTCTTTTTGACACAGTGACTACTTTACTTCACTCTTTATTACACAATTTGTACAACGGCAATAAACACCCGTCAAACATCCTTGGTGTGTGTTGTTGTAAGTGGGTGAACGAGTAAGGCTCGACACTGCTTTGAACAGTATTTCAGTGACACCATGCCGTGTCAGCGTGAGGTGGGAGGAAAGGTCTGAGGGATGCTACGACTCTGAAGTCTGCACAGTGAACTGCGGCGACCAAGACGAATGTGCCACTGGTGTCCTCGTGTGTATGGAATGTGTACGCATTGTCCATTGTGTTGACCTCAGCCTGACACATCGCTCACTGGAGATTATCTTTCTCAATGAATGTCCCAATGTTACTCTAGTCACGCATTAAGGATACATCACAGTAAAATAGAGAGGTCGACACAGTCTTGTTTATACAGTCAGCTGACTGTGAGGTGTAAAGTAAAACTGTCAGCTGACTATGAGTTATAAAGTAAAACTTCCATTAAATGGCCTTGTTTCACATTGTGAATCTCACCAACGTCACCAACACTCATTCAAAATGCAGTTCCCCTCTCCCGTTTCAATATTTTCGATGCCACGTAGAGAATCCATGCTTGATCATGCACCCCCCTCCTCAACATCTTCAAGCCATGAAACGCTGCCTCGTCGAACCAACAAAGAACGTTACGAAGAATGTGAAGACTCCCCAACACTACAGCCTTCTGCATTACCCAGATAGTCAAGGCCTGTGTTCTTGGCAGCAAACCCGTGTACTCTCCCAATGTCACTCAACAGATTGGGAGGTAAGTTTTTATTTACCCTATATTATTCTGTCAAATACAAACCTGAATAATACAGGAATACAAAGCATTTTTTCACACAAATTCAAATGAATAGCGTGTCGTTGAAAACATGTTTATTCACCCGAACATACATTCCATTCAGATAAACCATTTATATGAAAAAACCCTCTCTGAAATATACACACACAATTTGAAATAAGAATATATGGTTCAATCCATCGATAAACTTTATTAATTCAAAAGTCTGTTAACCATGATTGATGACTTTATCCGTATCCACTGTCGTTGGTCATTTTACCTTAACAATGACCATACATTTGGCCGACCTCTTGCATAGAAGAATACTATGGAATTCGTTAAATACGTCCTTCATGTATGTAATCAATATCAGCGAGGTCAGATGAAAGTGAAAGTAAATGTTCGTTTATTGAAAATGTAACATGTATGATTCGGTCACAATAAAAACAAGATGACTGCTTTGAAACAAATCATATCTTACTTGGAGTAGGCTGTGTTTGCAGTTACATTCTAAGAGTTTGATGAAATGAAATACGCAATTGAAGATATACAAGAAAACATTGACGCAGAGCATCAAAGTTCCCCGCCATATGTGATGCCTCTTAAACGCATAATTATGATGTTACTGAAAGGCATGATGGAGCATAATTATATTAACCACAATTATCACAACGCTGTTGTGGAATTTTTTTATATTTATTTTGAGTATTGGGCAATACAGTTGATACATTTGCATAGGGTAGGTCAATTTAAAAAATAGTTTCTTGTTTAACGCCGCACTCAGCAGTATTCCAGCCATATGACGGCGGTCTGTAAATAATCCAGTCTGGACCAGATCATCCAGTTATTGAAACCAAGAGCATCGAACTACGCAATTGGAATATGATGTTATGCATCGATCAAATCGGCGAGCCTGACTACCCAATCCTGTTCGTCGCCTCTTACGGCAAGCATAGATTGCTGAAGACCTATTCTAACCTGGGTCTTTATTTAAAACGTAGATCGAAGGAAATGGAAGCAATTTCTGGCACAAATGTAAACATGTGGAAATAGTATCAAAACTGCCAACAACATTGGCAGATGCACATACTCAAATAATAGATCACATTCTTTTTACGCTTGGCATTTGGTTATAATAATGTAAATGAAAATACCAAGGGCTCCATATGGCCAAAAAGTCATACTAGATAGGGTCTTTTTGTCACAACCACAGATGCACATACTCAAAATATTATCACGTAGTTGGACAACATTTCAATACCGGGACTAATCAATAACGGAGATTCCTCGTCTCTTGTTTTACCTTTTTTGGTCAGTTTCTTTTTTGTATTTCTTGCTTTCAAAGAATAGTAATTGTGATCATGATGAGTTGAGTTACTTGGTTTTTTCTATGTACTGTTTTTTATCCAGTGTCAGTAACTGTTGTGGAATGTGGTTTACTTGTAACAATGACTGGTTTGAGTTCATATGATGATGATTGATTGGTTTGTCGTTTAACGCCGCACTCAGCAATATCCCAGCTATAAGACGGCGTTCTGTAAATAATCGAGTCTGGACCAGACAATCCAGTGCTTAATATCATGAGCATCGATCCACGCAATTGGGATCGATGCCATGCATCAACCAAAGCCTGACCATCCGATCCCGCTTGTCGCCTCTTACGACAAGCATAGTCGCCTGATATACTGTTAAGATGTAACATAACAATTCATCCATACTACTAAACAGAAGTAAAACCGCTTGTCCATTCGGATCAATCTGACCCAAACCATTACGCTGATGAGAGTCAGATATTGCATACGAATCAAAATCCGTAAAAATTGCAATGGAGACATCATTAAAAGTTACCAAAAGTGACGGGAATATCAATATTGCTTGTTGAAATGATTCTTTGAAATTTGTTTATCCTGCTTCAATATTTGGAGCACCTGTGACGGAGCCATAAAACTGATCTGTTATGTAGACAATATCGCTTGAGACAGTGGCTGCTGGGAGCGGTGTTAAATGTGACTGTAGAGAGCTGTGCCTTCACCCAACAGATTATCGAGGTCAGTGGAACACCGTACAGACGCAAATAGATTTGACCCATAGGACACAAAATATATGAGTGACCAGAGCTACGGCTGTACATTGAATTCCATTAAACGGTTGAAACATACTACAGCCTTGATGCAAATTCGCCGACACACTACTCCGATTTTGCTTTAACTTTGCTACCAAACGTTTCACATGTGGCTATGTGCGGTGCACTGATTAAAAAAACATGAGGGACTGGGTTAATTCAAAATACGGAATATAACTATTCCAAATATTTCCAGTGAACATGAGCATCCAAACAATCAAAAGTGTGCAATATTACATTTAAATTGAGAGGTCGTTGTTGTTCATGAATAAGCATATTCAGAACATAATTTTTATTATGCTGTTATTTATGATCTCTGGTGCACAGTTCTTCTTCTGTATACACCGTGAAAATCAGAAAATTAGTCCTTGAGGAAAAAAGGACATCGGACTACACATGAATGGTTTAATAATGTCAGCTAATGACCAGAAACGGTCAATGAACTACATAAAGACAATTTTGAAGTATCTCTTATTGCTGGAAAAGAACAGCATCAACATTCCACGCACATGATTTGTATGTTTTGTTTCCGTAAATGCGTGGCTTGAAATTTTAAATAAACCAACATGTCGACATACATGCTACAAAATTAACGTTTCCCGTATACTTCCCAGCCTTAAGGACGGGGAATAATAATAAAAAGCGACAAAATAATTTTTCATTTAAAGTGATATAATTGTGAAATAGTCATTACAGAATTAATGATTTAACTTGCAGTTATGAATATCTAGAATATTTGAAGAAAATAGAACTATACATGTATGCAGTGTTATGATTAAAAACGTTAGGCTTTGACATGCAGTTATACCAGTTTTCCCTCGGAGTGTTCCCACTTTTATCAACTCGTGTTGATATATTTGATATCAAAAGACACTCTGGTGAGATTCCCTATATAGGCTCCAAACAATAATATCACAACATAATAATAATTGTTTACTTGATTGCAAAATAACCAGTTTGCATATTAAAAATAAACCTTTCCACAAAAGGACAAATTAGAAAAAATAGTCTTTGTTGTAGATAGTTCTCCAAAAAAGGATTGTTTCGATCCATCTTTTAAAAACGAGATGACAACTGATACTGACTAAACACACTGGATTTGAATATTATCCCTTTTTGGAAATAAGTCTAAGCTAAAAATAAACTAAAAATAAAAAAGTCATGCATATTGTTAGCTGTAATCATTGCAATCAGTTACTATGTAGCTACAGGTCTGTATAAACTGTACAAACAAAGTAAAAGATGATACCCACAAAACATACTTGATTTAAATAACATCCCATGTTGGAACTTAGTCCAAGTTAAAAATAAACGTTTTAAAAGTTTAAATATGCATATCGATAGCTACAATCACTGCAATCGGTTCATATGCAGATACAGGTATACAACTACTCTGCTGAACATGAAGGACAATGACCGTATACGCGATGGTAAACTGGGCGTATTGTGGCTCTCATTGCCTGGGTTTGCACTGTAGCTTGTACGAAGGTGGCCGTATACACGATGGTAAACTGCGTGTATTGTGGCTCTCATTGCCTGGGTTTGCACTGTAGCTTGTACGAAGGTGGCCGTATACACGATGGTAAACTGCGTGTATTGTGGCTCTCATTGCCTAGGTTTGCACTGTAGCTTGTACGCAGGTGGCCGTATACACGATGGTAAACTGGGCGTATTGTGGCTCTCAGTGCCTAGGTTTGCACTGTAGCTTGTACGAAGGTGGCCGTATACACGATGGTAAACTGCGTGTATTGTGGCTCTCATTGCCTAGGTTTGCACTGTAGCTTGTACGAAGGTGGCCGTATACACGATGGTAAACTGGGCGTATTGTGGCTCTCATTGCCTAGGTTTGCACTGTAGCTTGTACGAAGGTGGCCGTATACACGATGGTAAACTGCGTGTATTGTGGCTCTCATTGCCTGGGTTTGCACTGTAGCTTGTACGAAGGTGGCCGTATACACGATGGTAAACTGCGTGTATTGTGGCTCTCATTGCCTAGGTTTGCACTGTAGCTTGTACGCAGGTGGCCGTATACACGATGGTAAACTGCGTGTATTGTGGCTCTCATTGCCTGGGTTTGCACTGTAGCTTGTACGAAGGTGGCCGTATACACGATGGTAAACTGCGCGTATTGTGGCTCTCATTGCCTGGGTTTGCACTGTAGCTTGTACGAAGGTGGCTGTAAGAGAAATTTAATCTCGTATGTGCGGGGATCGGGTGAAGGGAAAGGTTCTGATGGATCACGAGTCAGGTCGAAGTTTTGTAGTATGGACGTCAGTCCAAGAAATATCCTCACTCGGGCCAGCTTCTCGCCAATACAAGACCGCTTTCCGATGCCAAACGTCAACAGTCTGCAATCAAAAGAAACTCTTGTAATTATGTACAATCAATTAAATACCTGTCATATATGATTACAATATTCGTACCTATTATCCTCCTTGGTATGTCTGGTAAACATTTAAGTTCTGTCTATGTCTGAGCCTTACTTTTACTGAAATACTGTTCACTACTGTGAAATAAACCATACAACCTGATTCATAACTACGTTAAGTGCTATGCATGTTTACCTCTGACGTTTTTCATCCTCTGGTGGGAGCAGTTTGCCATGTTCATCCAAGAATCTGGTTGGATCAAATGTGAAGGGATTCTCCCAAAATGATTCGTCATGGTGTACTTGCCATACGTTGTAAATAACCTTCATAAAGACAGATTCAAATTAATTTTGTTTACAATACAATATGTCCTAATGACAAAGAATATAATTGTACTACAGTACTCTAGATTAATCCTATTGTGCTTATCAATAATACGTTTATTTGTTTTACAAGAGCGAAGGACAGTAGCAAAACGGTTATTATTGCAAGGTGTAATGACTTTGTAGGGCGTCTTAGATAACCAGTCGGTAACAAGCAAGGGGAAAATAATTTTGTTATGAAGGAAACTATTTACAGATATGTGGCCTTTCATTATTACAGAAACGTGCCATTGTGCCCTTCGGGATGCTGTACCCATTATAGGTACAGTCTTGCGTAGTGTTCCTTGGACCAGCTGCTCCAACAGGGGTGGAGTAGCGGTATGATTCTAGTTCCACTGCCCTGGTGTAGGGCATTTTGTTCCGGTCCTCCAAACCCGGAAGTCGGTCTTCCCAACCAAAGGAGGCGCCATTTAGATCTCTGCATCTGTTAATTAGGTGTATCAATCTTACAAGAGCAAAGGAAAGTATAAAAAAATGGGAAGGTGTATGTTAAAGCTATATTTGTCATGAAGGAAACTAATTCACGTATTTTGTCCTTCATTTAGTACAGAAACGTGCCATTGTGCCCTTCGGGATGCTGTAACCATTATAGGTACAGTCTTGCGTAGTGTTCCTTGGACCAGCTGCTCCAACAGGGGTGGAGTAGCGGTATGATTCTAGTTCCACTGCCCTGGTGTAGGGCATTTTGTTCCGGTCCTCCAAACCCGGAAGTCGGTCTTCCCAACCAAAGGAGGCGCCATTTAGATCTCTGCATCTGTTAATTAGGTGTATCAATCTTACAAGAGCAAAGGAAAGTATAAAAAAATGGGAAGGTGTATGTTAAAGCTATATTTGTCATGAAGGAAACTAATTCACGTATTTTGTCCTTCATTTAGTACAGAAACGTGCCATTGTGCCCTTCGGGATGCTGTAACCATTATAGGTACAGTCTTGCGTAGTGTTCCTTGGACCAGCTGCTCCAACAGGGGTGGAGTAGCGGTATGATTCTAGTTCCACTGCCCTGGTGTAGGGCATTTTGTTCCGGTCCTCCAAACCCGGAAGTCGGTCTTCCCAACCAAAGGAGGCGCCATTTAGATCTCTGCATCTGTTAATTAGGTGTATCAATCTTACAAGAGCAAAGGAAAGTATAAAAAAATGGGAAGGTGTATGTTAAAGCTATATTTGTCATGAAGGAAACTAATTCACGTATTTTGTCCTTCATTTAGTACAGAAACGTGCCATTGTGCCCTTCGGGATGCTGTAACCATTATAGGTACAGTCTTGCGTAGTGTTCCTTGGACCAGCTGCCCCAACAGGGTGAAGTAGCGGTATGATTCTAGTTCCACTGCCCTGGTGTAGGGCATTTTGTTCCGGTCCTCCAAACCCGGAAGTCGGTCTTCCCAACCAAGGGAGGCGCCATTTAGATCTCTGCATCTGTTATAGTTGTACTACATTATTCCGGGGTAATCTTATTAGGTGTATCAATCTTACAAGAGCAAAGGAAAGTATAAAAAAATGGGAAGGTGTATGTTAAAGCTATATTTGTCATGAAGGAAACTAATTCACGTATTTTGTCCTTCATTTAGTACAGAAACGTGCCATTGTGCCCTTCGGGATGCTGTAACCATTATAGGTACAGTCTTGCGTAGTGTTCCTTGGACCAGCTGCCCCAACAGGGGTGGAGTAGCGGTATGATTCTAGTTCCACTGCCCTGGTGTAGGGCATTTTGTTCCGGTCCTCCAAACCCGGAAGTCGGTCTTCCCAACCAAAGGAGGCGCCATTTAGATCTCTGCATCTGTTAATTAGGTGTATCAATCTTACAAGAGCAAAGGAAAGTATAAAAAAATGGGAAGGTGTATGTTAAAGCTATATTTGTCATGAAGGAAACTAATTCACGTATTTTGTCCTTCATTTAGTACAGAAACGTGCCATTGTGCCCTTCGGGATGCTGTAACCATTATAGGTACAGTCTTGCGTAGTGTTCCTTGGACCAGCTGCCCCAACAGGGTGAAGTAGCGGTATGATTCTAGTTCCACTGCCCTGGTGTAGGGCATTTTGTTCCGGTCCTCCAAACCCGGAAGTCGGTCTTCCCAACCAAGGGAGGCGCCATTTAGATCTCTGCATCTGTTATAGTTGTACTACATTATTCCGGGGTAATCTTATTAGGTGTATCAATCTTACAAGAGCAAAGGAAAGTATAAAAAAATGGGAAGGTGTATGTTAAAGCTATATTTGTCATGAAGGAAACTAATTCACGTATTTTGTCCTTCATTTAGTACAGAAACGTGCCATTGTGCCCTTCGGGATGCTGTAACCATTATAGGTACAGTCTTGCGTAGTGTTCCTTGGACCAGCTGCCCCAACAGGGGTGGAGTAGCGGTATGATTCTAGTTCCACTGCCCTGGTGTAGGGCATTTTGTTCCGGTCCTCCAAACCCGGAAGTCGGTCTTCCCAACCAAAGGAGGCGCCATTTAGATCTCTGCATCTGTTAATTAGGTGTATCAATCTTACAAGAGCAAAGGAAAGTATAAAAAAATGGGAAGGTGTATGTTAAAGCTATATTTGTCATGAAGGAAACTAATTCACGTATTTTGTCCTTCATTTAGTACAGAAACGTGCCATTGTGCCCTTCGGGATGCTGTAACCATTATAGGTACAGTCTTGCGTAGTGTTCCTTGGACCAGCTGCCCCAACAGGGTGAAGTAGCGGTATGATTCTAGTTCCACTGCCCTGGTGTAGGGCATTTTGTTCCGGTCCTCCAAACCCGGAAGTCGGTCTTCCCAACCAAGGGAGGCGCCATTTAGATCTCTGCATCTGTTATAGTTGTACTACATTATTCCGGGGTAATCTTATTAGGTGTATCAATCTTACAAGAGCAAAGGAAAGTATAAAAAAATGGGAAGGTGTATGTTAAAGCTATATTTGTCATGAAGGAAACTAATTCACGTATTTTGTCCTTCATTTAGTACAGAAACGTGCCATTGTGCCCTTCGGGATGCTGTACCCATTAAAGGTACAGTCTTGCGTAGTGTTCCTTGGACCAGCTGCCCCAACAGGGATGAAGTAGCGGTATGATTCTAGTTCCACTGCCCTGGTGTAGGGCATTTTGTTCCGGTCCTCCAAACCCGGAAGTCGGTCTTCCCAACCACCCTCTGGATCTCCTCCTGGATCTTCTTCTGGACCTCAGGAAAGCTTACCATTGCCATTAGGGCAGTATAGAGGGTTGGTTTTGTTGTGGTGACACCTATCCACAGAAAGGAAAATGGTAGTTGAATTAAAAAATCTGGCACCTGTGTACTGCTTCAGTAACCGAAAAACATTCAAAGTTCTTTCGGTATAAACATAGATATAATTTTAGAAAGTCATCTATACATAATATTATTTGTAAAGTATTACCTGCAATCAGGGAATCTATCAGAACGCCTTTTATATTTTCCTTTGATATCTTTCCCTCCTCATGCTCTTTCAGAAGCAATGTATAGAGACAGTCGGGCATCGTACCCTTGGATTCCTAAAAATATATTCAATCCATAACAGCAGTGTGAAATCACCAAAAGCGCTGCATATTTTGCCTCTTATATTACAGTATTCGATGTACATCTGTATTTACATGTGTTCTCAGTGTAGTTACAGTATTAGTAGTACTACAGACTCATTCAAGCATATTTTACTTGAAATTAATTATGAATTTCTGGTAATGGTTTGTGTGCATTACCTTTGATATTTTGTCAACAGTCTCAGTAAAATAGTGGTAACCGTCCTTCATAGTTTGACAAGCCCGTCTTAGGTTCGGCATCAACTTTGTACTAAACGGGACATTGCCCATGAGAATCTGGTTCTTGAAGTTAAAGAGATACTCAAAGTCAGCGCCAACATTCTGACAAATTTCCAGTGTCTGATGGCCAGGTTCAAATCTTTTTCCACAAACCTGAAATTACATAAACGTGTTGTGAGTGGCATGGGTGAATGCTACAGTCATACATATAAAAATATATTGCACAACTGATCAAAGCTCATGTGTCAGTTCAGTCTGTTAGTTCACATCCAACCGTCCATCATTTTGCCAGTTTACATACCATGACATATAATCAGGGCATCCACATTATTCAGGTACCTAAACACTAATAATTACACTGTTTCCTAGTTACTGTTGTTCAGAATAGGTCAACAACTTACCAATATCAAGATCACGTTGCTGACATACTGATTCAGGTCCTCCCACGGGTCAAACGAGACGCCATTTCGTTCTCTGCACCTGTTAATCATTTCTTGTATTTCTACTTGAGCATGATGCTCAACATTTTCCAATGCGGTTCCATATTGTTTTATTCCTCGAAAGGTTAGTTTTCTCAAGTACTTCTGACTGTTACTGGCCGTCTGGAAAATCATATCATGCGGAAGCAAATACTTGCTAAAATATGTGCTAACTCTTCCACTGAAGATATGAGCATATTCAGGAGAATAAAGGAGGTCCCTTATGATTTGGAATTTGTCCAGAACGACTGCCGGCGTCATTAGCAAATGGACGGTGAATATACCATTGTATTGCGAACCCACGTGAGTGAGATCTTGTACCATTGTCGCTTCCTTCAGTTCGAAGAAATTACCCAGTATTGGCAGTGGTTTCGGACCCGGGGGCATCTTACTATACTTCCTTTTCGATTGATATATGTAGGCGAGAAACAGCACAACAGCTGTCCCAAGTATCAACTCCGTCAACATCTTGCTTACAACGTCAGTGAATATACACAGCTTCTTGTGTATGCCTAAAACAGAAAAAAAGAAATCCACCTATGACGGACAAATGTAAGTTTCAGAAAACATGACAACCGGAATTGATATATTTCCACCGTAATAGCAAATAACGTTCTTGTGGAGGTGGTTAGAGGCATGCATATTCCTTTTGTAAAGTCGCACATGTGTATTTTCTCAAAGATGGCACCCGTGACATGGGTACAATTGTGAGCGGGAGAATAAATCTCTTATACAACACCAAGAAGCAAAATGTCCCACGTTGTTTTCGAAAAGTGAAGTCACGCGTGACACAGCACAAGTTAACGTCAGTTCAATCGAACAACTGGTTCTATCAATTTTCAATTTGTTTTAATTCAATTACAATTGCAGATTGAAACATGTCGGTAAGATCATTCTTTGTGGCAGTATCCTTCCTTGCCTCCTGTTCGTGATATAAAACCTAACGCTGGACGCATAAATCACACATGCCCTCGTTATAATGCTACAACTGATCACGATTTGGGTCAGAGGAGTAAAACGTATACATATACAATAAAATACAAACACTTACATATATCTGTGTTCGTGATAATCAACAAGAATTCACTTCTTTAAGTTTAGTTTGTTCCGATGTTTGTCCCTGTCCCTGTGAAGGTAGACTCACAGATTGTGCTTCGTTGATTGACCCCAAGTGTACAGGGTGTAAATGGACACCTTTTTTTTTTATCTCAGAGCTGGGAGGGCAATGACCCACTGACGTGAAAGTGCAGTTTTGTTTAAAACGAGGCTGTTATATCGGATGAAGTAGGACTTGGAGATACTGTACATAGACCTATACGTAACTTGCTATTTGATCACAGTATTTTCTGTTTTCTGTCATCAACGTTTATCTTATAGCTTTAAGAATATTTTGATTGAACATTCTTGCATGCAGACACATGAATGTTTGTCTCCTGAAAATAGGTCGAAAACAAGCACAGTCAACTAGACTTGACTAGGCTGTCAGCAGCCATAAATCGGTTAGATTAGTGTCACCGTGTTGACCCACATCTTAACTGAATTTTATTACACTCGGGCTGCAAACTACAGCATAAGAGGTACAGTATGTATATAATATTATATGCACATTGTATATACAGTAAAAACGGCGAGGTTGCATTTGGGTTTGTCAAATAAAAAAAGAGAAAGAAAGAAAGGAAAGATGAGATACAAGTTAAACAGTAAAGATGGTAAGATACTAACATGAATTTACCCAGTTACTTTTTGAAGTGAGGCATAATAATCTTATAAATAATAGAGAGTTTCATCATTGTTCCAACTTCATGATTGGTCAGTCTCATTATATATACTGAACCGCAAAAGAAACGTCACCATGGATAGATATATGAGAAACCTTATTTGTCCAAACACTGTAAACATACTTTGAGACATACTTTGTCAAATGTTCTTAAAGTGAAACACAACACTAGTCTCTGAGAAAAGTTAGTATCTCGTGTGTCCGCCATGTGCATTGATGACTGCCGTGCAAAGTCGATACATGGAATGGATGAGGCGGTTGATGAAGGCCATAGGCACTTGAGCCCACACTCTGAGGAACGCCGGACGCAGTTCGGCTGCAGTTGTCGGCCTTGGTCGGATTTCATTCAGCCATCTTTGAATCTCGCCCCACAGGTGCTCAATGGGATTTAAATCGGGACTGAGGGCATGCCACTACATGGTTCTGATGCCATTCTGTCGGAGGAAGTCTCTCGTTGCTCTCGCAGTGTGAACACGGGCGTTATCATGCTGAAACTCGTGGCTGCGGCGACGTGCCAAATGAGGTATGGCGTGTGGTCTCAAGATCAATGTACCGAGCTGCTGTGACACCATTGCCTCTCCCTGGACCGATGTTCTGTCGAGTATGGACCAGACAATCCAGGGATTGACATCATGAGCATCAATCCACGCAATTGGGGATACGATGACATGCATCAACCAAGTCAGCAAGCCTGACCACCCGATCCCGTTAGTCGCCCTTTAATTTACAACAAGCAAAGTCGCCTTTTACGGCAAGCATGGGTTGCTGAAGACCTCTTCTACCCCGGATCGTTGGTCTGATGTACTTAATCGGGGATCTGTGTCAGCGGAGATAGGGTTTATCTTATCTTTTATTGTCATGTATTAGTACAATTAGCTGTTATTAATAAAGCTGTGAACCTATTACCACGTTGTTATCATTACTTTCTACTTTGTAATTACACACCTGAACATTGGAGCACAGATCCGTGACAATTACTACTGTTCCTGATACCCAAATACATCAGCCAAGTGTTATTCGTTTCCCACACACAAACAAATCTTCGCTTTAATTATGTGATCTTCTTCCATGACTATGTGAATAACTTGAATTTGATTGGAAATCAATAAAGTCATACACAAAATTGGACATAATCAATTTTGATTGATTACGCGACTAATTTTATCACCACGTAACTGCGCTAATATACAACCACGGACGTATATACTATATATGTCTTTGATACAACCAACAACACTATCCTGCTACTTCAGTCTGACCACAAATATCGCTGACACACGTGATGGATTTGGTATATTTTTTGTGAATAATTTTCACAACTTGTGAGGTACAGTGTAAGTCACCTGGTACAGTGTAAGTCACCTGGTACAGTGTAAGTCACCTGGTACAGTGTAAGTCACCTGGTACAGTGTAAGTCACCTGGTACAGTGTAAGTCACCGGGTAGAGTAAGTCACCTGGTACAGTGTCAGTCACCCGGTACAGTGTAAGTCACCTGGTACAGTGTAAGTCACCTGGTTCAGTGTAAGTCACCTGGTACAGTGTAAGTCACCTGGTTCAGAGTAAGTCACCTGGTACAGTGTAAGTCACCTGGTACAGTGTAAGTCACCTGGTACAGTGTAAGTCACCGGGTACAGTGTAAGTCACCTGGTACAGTGTAGGTCACCGGGTACAGTGTAAGTCACCGGGTACAGTGTAGGTCACCTGGTACAGTGTAAGTCACCTGGTACAGTGTAGGTCACCTGGTACAGTGTAGGTCACCTGGTACAGTGTAAGTCACCTGGTACAGTGTAGGTCACCTGGTACAGTGTAGGTCACCTGGTGCAATGTAAGTCACCTGGTGCAATGTAAGTCACCTGGTACAGTGTAGGTCACCTGGTACAGTGTAGGTCACCTGGTACAGTGTAAGTCACCTGGTGCAATGTAAGTCACCTGGTACAGTGTAAGTCACCTGGTACAGTGTAGGTCACCTGGTACAGTGTAAGTCACCTGGTACAGTGTAAGTCACCTGGTACAGTGTAAGTCACCGGGTAGAGTAAGTCACCTGGTACAGTGTCAGTCACCTGGTACTCGCATGGCCGGCAGTTCACGAACAACTGTTGCCATTATAAACTTTCACCCGTGAATGCAGATTGTCATTTGCTTCGATTTTGTGAGAACTGATCTTTAGGCGAGTTTGAGGCTCCAGATCTGGGCCGTTATAAGTTTAATCATGGAAGTATTTTCTACTGATGCGGTTTCTTTACGCTTTGTTCTTTGGGATGCAATCGAACATGCTCTTTCTTCGACGATTTCCCTGTGCAGAGTTGCGTCCCTTGGGCACGCCAGAAACCTATGATTATGGGGTCGAATCCCGGTTCGCCCCGATTGTTTCTAGGTTTGTCAGCACCTAGCCGTGCTCGTGGGTTTCACCGAAGTGGTAAACGTCTGAGACCTGCATCACTTCGGGCTTTCCTCCCACATTAAGCTGACACGCCGCGATATAACTGGAATACTGTTTAAGCGGCGTATACCTAACTCACTCACTCGAAGATTTCCAAGAGCGTCATATCACCCTTGCTCAAAAGTTGATTGATGAGGGTTAGAATATTCATAAAGTTTTAGTGTAGATAAGTGGGTTTTTTCCTCAGGTGAATACTTGCCTTGCCTTTGCATGTGTTTGTGATTAATGTCACATGTAGGGTAGGAGACACTCACCTTTTCGTGAACACCTGGTATCATCACTGTATGATAATGATTCATGCACACATGCTTCTTCTTCTCCTGATGATTATTATTATTATTAAGTTTTATATTAGTCTGTCAAATACCTGCAAATATAATATATGTGTTCAGTGATATCCGTTGAGTTTCATGAAATGAGGTAGGCAAGTGAAGATATATACAAATTTATTCATAATAAGTGTTATAATTATGAAAGGATTATTATAGAATTAAATGATTTAATTTGCATTTTTTAATATTGTTGATATTTAAAGGGATAAAACTATACATTTATGCAGTGTCATGATTATAAACTTTATGATTCAACATGCAACTATACCAGTTAAGCAGAACCGATCTAATATTGTGTTTAGGCATTGTCCGCAACAGAAGTTATGACCTTGTTGCGCATTTGTAGTCGTAATTTTAACAAGTAGAAGCAGGTGTTGTTTCGCAGTTTTTCCAATCCTTTCCCGTGTGACCCGGATAACCTTTGCTATAAACACTAGAGCTCTCAAAAACTGACCCCCCACCCCCACCCCTTCGCATACACCCTGTCACATATCACTAGCTGATAAGAGATGTGAGGGGTTATGTTCCAGAAAAAAAATACTCACCTAAAGTACACTACAAACACACCAATACATAATTTCACAATAAGCGAGATAACCTATATAGTTACTGCTGGGTGTGGGGAGCAGATATTAGCTCTCAACAACTGACTTCTACACCCACCCGAGGCCTCCTGTCATAAGAACCACATCCCATAAGAACTACAGCTTAAAACAGTAAAAGGTATGTGTCAATTGTCTTTATGTTAATTGATTGGGCTGCTTGTTACTGCCATAAGAAGTAAATGGTACTTTATGTCTTATTATGTACTTTATTAACCTTCTTACATATATGTATATAATATTGACAGTAGCAGGTGACCTTGCCTAGGTGAACACTACCAAGCTGACTGCCGTTCATTCCCGATGAACCTTAGTATGTTACGTGATTGGGTTGTGAATTGAGCGGAGACATACAGAACTTCTTTAGGGGGATTCCTCAATGTCTAAAAATAATATTAAAAAACCGAGAATGCTCGACTTTACTGAGCTCCACACTGTCGTGTATTGCTTCGGGGAAACCAACCGCGCCGCCTCAAGCGGTAATCCACGTCGTCAGCAGCCGTAGTATGACTCAAACACACACCCAAAGTTCACAGTACGTTAATATCAATCCATTTTCAGCCGGGTCTGGATTTCTTTCCAACTCTAACTTTGCTGGGTGCAACTTTTATTTCAAGTGAATGACATTGCCGTAGCCGCCATTTTCTGCCGTTTGTCAAACCAAGGGATGCCACTCCAAATGGAATGTTTGGAACGGATGACGTCACGACTCTCCGCGTTGATATAGTTCGCTTTAAATAATTACAGTTTGATGTTTAATGGGTTGTTTTGTTATGATTTATGTTTCTGTCGGGGCGGTCGGGTAGCCTAGGGGTTAAAGCGTTCGCTCGTCACATTGAAGACCCGGGTTCTATTCCCGACATGGGTACAATGCGTGAAGCCCGTTTCTGGTGTCCCCCGCCGTGATATCGCTGGAATATTGCTAAAAGCAGCGTAAAACCACACTCATTCACTCACTCACTATGTTTCAGTCAATATAAAGACATTT